TAATTTAGGGTAAGCTAAAAAAAAAATTATATTTTTAAAAAAAATGTTCTGTCATCTTTTAATTTGAATAATTCAGTTTAAATAAAAAAGCTTTTTTCTGACACCAAATATATCAAAACTCATGTAAATACACACACATTAATATTTTTGTCAATTCACTAGCACCCAGTGTTTCTTTCAGAAATTTTCCCAGGTGAGGGGGAGGGGGCACTTCAGATTTTTTAGGGGGGGGGGCAGTGCCAGCAGTTCCAGTTATTGTTGGACATATTTTTGCTCGGGTGGGGGGGGGGGACTGCCCCCCTCCCCGGAAATATAGCTGAAAGAAACCCTGCTAGCACCGCCCTTTGACATTTAAGCCCGATTAGTGACGTTTGACAGGTTTGCACTATAAATAACTTTCCGGACTTATCTATAATTGAAATTATTGAATACTTTCAAATAGAATATTCTATTTAATAGGCCGATTATTAATTATTAAATCTATTTAAAAACATATAATACTTTTTAATTCAACAATAATTAACCACAACTTGAGTCTTTAACTGTAGTGTTAGGGTTACCCCAAATTAATTTTACGATAGTGAAATGTCAATACCTGTTAAGCCTAATAGTTAGAATCTTATTTATATGTTCCTATGAGTAACCAGTCCTAATCTGAAAAGTTTAGTTACACAACCTACTCCTACAGATACTAGAGTGACCAAATCATGAACTGGAAAAAACGGGACACACCCAAGGAGGGTTTTGTTGGTGGGATACCATTTATTGAAATACGTTCATTTTAACTATTTTGAGACCTAGAAATCATTTTAAATTTGACTTCTCTTTTGTAATTTAATTTAAACTAAGAGGCATATATAAGTTATACTATATAATATAATTATGCTCAAAATAATTGTAAAATTAATTACACATGTCTTGTTTAAAATTAGGTGATAAATAAATTAGCCTATAAAACTTGTATTTTGAAAGAATTCAAATAAATAAATAAGAATCAAACAACATCATCATATTTTTATTAGGACATTTGAAGCTTTGATGAAAACCATAGAAGAAATTTGTTTTAAATAAAGTCAATTTATTGTAAAAATAACTATAATTTTACGTCGTTACAGTTCTAAAATTCATTGACCCCCTGACCTTCAATTAAATCTTTTTTTTTTTTTTGTTCTTGTCTTTGTTATACTATGGTCTGTGTGGCTTTTTTTAAACAAGAAGAAATCCATTGCGGAAGCGAGGGTTGGGGGGTGAGCGAGGGCACCAGTCAACGTCAACGTCCACAGCTCGAACTCTCCCCCCCTCCCCGCATTAGATTT